GCATGGGCTCTTCAGAGGGCCAGGGGCTCGGGTTTTGACCATTTTTAGTCTAAGGTCTGCCTGGAAGTGTAGTGCTGTAAGAGTTAGAGATGGCCTACATTAGAAATTTTAGAAGTATATAATTTTGAAGCCTTAATTTGGCAGGATTTTCAGAGATGGAGAAGAGCACCTCTGAATGTGATTTGCCAGAAGGATGATAGCCTCCCTGTTCTGACCCCAAATGACCTGATTGAAGAAGTGGGATTCAGTCGATGTTAACAGGGGCAAAACCACATTTGCTTTCCCCTTTTCTTATTTCTTCTCCCTCTCCTCTCCTTGGAGCTGTTGTGGCTCAAAGTGCATCTCTAAAAAAGGAGGCTGTGCAGAGGCAGTCGTTTGGTCTCTGGAATGTGACTGCATGGCATGGTTTAGAAAAGATGTTAGGTTTTAGAAGAAGAAAAAGAATCAAAGAAATAATAGAATCATACAATCATCTAGGTTGGAAGGGACCTTTAAGATCATCTAGTCCAACCATCAACCTAACTCTGATAAACTAACAAAAGAAAACCGTACAAACCCCTCATCCCATCACTAACCCATGTCTCTAAGCACTATGTCAACCCATCTTTTAAACACCTCCAGGGATGGTGCCTCAGCCCCTTCCCTGGGCAGCCATAACCCTTCATAACCCTTTCCATAGAAACATTTTTCCTAATATCCAACCTGAACCTCCCCTGGTGCAACTTGAGGCTGTTTCCTCTTGTCCCATGGCCTGTTCCTTGGGAGAAGAGACCGACCCCCCCCTGGCTACACCCTCCTTTCAGGGAGGAGGAGAGAGTGAGAAGGTCTCCCCTCAGCCTCCTCTTCTCCAGGCTGAACACCCCCAGCTCCCTCAGCCTCTCCTCACAAGACTTGTGCTCCAGACCCCTCACCAGCTCCATTGCCCTTCTCTGGACCCGCTCCAGCCCCTCAATGTCTTTTTTGTGGTGAGGGGCCCAAAACTGGACACATCCCTCGAGGTGGGGCCTCACCAGTGCCCAGTACAGGGGGATGGTCACCTCTCGGGTCCTACTCACCACACTGTTCCTGATCCAGGCCAGGATGCTGTTGGCCTTCTTGGCCACCTGGGCACACTGCTGGCTCCTGTTCAGCCGGCTGTCCACCAACACCCCCAGGGCCTTTTCTGCTGGGCAGCTCCAGCCACTGTGCCCCAAGTCTGTAGCATCCATGGGGTTGGGGTGACCCAAGGGGAGGACCCAGCACTTGGCCTTGTTGAACCTCATCCCATTGGCCTCAGCCCATCCATCCAGCCTGTCCAGATCCCTCTGCAAAGCCTTCCTACCCTCCAGCAGATCAACACTCCCACCCAACGTGGTGTCAACTGGGAAATTACTAAGGGTGCACTTGATCCTCTCGTCCAGATCATTGATGAAGATGTTAAAGAGAACTGGCCCCAACACCAAGCCCTGTGGGTCACCACTCGTGACCGGCCGCCAACTGGATTTAACTCCATTCCATTCTCCAGTGTAACAGGTGAAGCATTGGGCACCTCTTCCCCTGCAGGTGTCCCTGCCCCAGGTTCTTTGCAGCAGCATGGCCAGCGTGATGTCCCTCAGATGCTCACACGGACTGTTGGCTTGGGTGACGGTCTGGGAATCTGCTGCCGAGGTGGTTGTTTTGCTGCTTTTGTTTAAAGACTTGGGGGTACACTACAGCTTCAAACGTTTTGGTTACTGAATTATTTAGCTGAGATCAATATGCCTCAAAACTCTGAAGGCAGAAGCTGCCGTTTGAAGTTGTGTGAAGGATTGCTGGGGCTCGGGTGTCTCAGCTGAGGGTTTTTCATTGCCGCTGGAGTTAAGCACGGCAGCTACTTCATGGTAATTTATCACCTGTTTTTCTACAAAGTAATGGTTCACTTTTTTTTTTTTTTTTTTCCCAAGTGGACCTTGGCTACTTTTCAGAAAAAAAGTGGTAGTTGAATATGTGAAATTCAGTAATACATCCTATTTTACACTTCATAATCCTGACCGAAAACTACTGGCATCATAAAGACAAACATGTTAGAGAGGAACTGCAGGAATTTGGGTTTGGAGGACACTAAATCAAGCGAGGGTTACTGTGGCTGTGGCTCAGAGCAGTTTATATGCGCCCTGCTGAGTGAGGGAAGAAGGTTTTGCTGCAGCTGCACTGAGTTTTTAACCCTTGAAGAGAGGATTCCTTCCAAATCAGTGCTGAGCCTGTTTGTCCCTGTTGCATATACTTTCCGTTAGTCTGTGCTCCGGTTGTCCCTGGCCTTGTCCTGGCTCTATAATCCCGTGCAGGTTGGTGGGTTCATGTGCCCTATGGCTAGTGGAAAGGCTGCCGACTGCTGTGGTCTCCAGATGTGTCACACCCCAAAACCTGGGAGGTGTAAACACATCTTGTAGATAAACAGCTTCTCCGAAACAGAATTTTCTTGCTCTCTGGCTGCTGTCTCAAGGGGAGGAGGAGACAGGAAAAGCTCTGGGGAGAAAATGTTGAATTTAACAGCTAAATAATACTTCTGTTAAGTCATTGCTCTGAACAGTTTCTCCCTCTCATCCCTTATCAGGATGCTTTGGACAGAAGAAAGAGTGCATTGTCCAGATACTTAAGTCTATTCCTGGTCATTCCAGCACCTTTTTCCTCCAGAATTGGTCAGACGTTAAATGTTGTGTGTGGTTTTACTGCGGTAGCCCAGGATGATGCACCAGATGTGGTTTGGACCTCCTTGCCCTGGGGCCATAGATTTGGTGTAGGAGTAGGAAACATTTAGGAAGGTAGGAAACGTGCCCAGGTGGCCAAGAAAGCCAGTGGCATCCTGGCTTGTACTAGAAATAGTGAGACCAGCAGAAGTCGGGAGGTGATTGTCCCCCTGGACTCAGCACCAGGGAGGCCGCACCTTGAGTGTTGTGTCCAGTTTTGGGCACCTCAACACAATAGAGATCTGGAGGTGCTGGAGTGGGTGCAGAGGAGGGCAATGAAGCTGGGGAAGGGCCTGGAGAATAAATCTTATGAAGAGCCATTGAAGGAGCTGGGACTGTTTAGTTTGAGGAAGAGGAGGCTGAGGGGAGACCTCATCACTCTCTACAGCTACTTGAGGGGACACTGTAGAGAGGTTGGTGCTGGTCTCTTCTCACAGGTAATTAGTGACAGAACGAGAGGGAATGGCTTCAAGCTGCAACAGGGTAGGTCTAGACTGGCCATTAGGGAACAATTCTTCACAGAAAGAGTGGTCAGAGACTGGAATAGGCTGCCCAGGGAGGGGGTTGAGTCCCCATCCCTGGATGTGTTTAAGAGTCATTTAGATGTGGTGTTGGGGGATGTGGTGTAGGGAGACCTTTGTAGAGTGGGGTTGATGGTTGGACTCGATGCTCCCAAGGGTCTTTTCCAACCTGAATGATTCTATGATTCTATGATTTACTCAAAAGGCCTGCATGTTACGGAGCTGGCTTCTTCTCTGGTGTTGTCCCACCAAGGGTCTGTGCAGGGTATCACCAAGTGTCCACGTTGCACAGTGCACGTCTCCCTGCAGCCACCAGCACCCTCTGGCTTTCTGAAGAGTTCCCTGTCCGGGGATGTCATCCATTGTGTCACGTGTGAATTTAAAAAAGCAAAGGGGAGAAAAAAAAAATCTAACCACACATCTCATTAAATTAGTTGTTAACTTTGGGAGTTGCTTTGTTCTGGGCTGGTGATACCACAGGACTTAACTGGTGCTTGCCTTGAGCATCATGGGGAAAGCACCTGGATCGCTTTTGCTGAGGGCAGTGTTCTCTTCTCACCATGCAGAGCTGCTGTGCAATGAAGTAAAAAATGTGAAGTACTTGAGATTATAACGAGAGTCTGTAATCATTTCTTAAACACATTTTGATGCTACTGTTAGTGTTTAGGGTTCTATGAATAGCTGTGCTGGTGCTTTGAAATAGATGGCAGTTTCTGTCATGAAGAGCTGAATAATGGATGGCAGAGAGAAGTACAGCAGGAGATGCAGTTCATATAACTCATGTTCCTTTGGCACCCAATTTCATGTAAATTGTACTGAATAAAGGCAGTGTTAATTGTAGCATTTTCTTCTCCGAGTTTGATTTTTGCAAGCTGAACAATACTTTAATGGTCTCTTCTGCTTCTTATTCTCTAAAAGACACTAACTTGCTTGATATCTATGTATTCCTTCTTTATTCCTCCTTTCCTTCTCTAGATGTTTCCTTACTCTTTGTACAGCTGTCTTTGTCCAAGTTTGCCTCCAGATCCCAAATTCTCTGAACCGGCTGCCGCATTCGTTATCTCTGTCTGCCTTGGGCTCTTCACTGTTTGGCTTCTCTGAGCAAGCAAGAGGAGCCTGTTGGTGTACAAAATCTAGAATTTTGCTGCTATTTAGTGTTTGTGGACTTGGCATGACAGGCTGGGGGGTGTGTGTGTGGGAGCTATGACTAGTCCAGCTAGACCTTTGCTCTGAGGGTTGTTGGCTGCCACCCGAGGACCTGCCTAGATGTCTTCTGCCTCCTGGACTTATGCCTGGGGCAGTGACATTGGAAGCAGACTTCCATGAAAAGAGGAGACAGTCACTCTTGTTTTCTGTGAAGTATGTCCCTCTGTTTTAATATTTTTCCTGCAGTGCTTCTGAGTTGGTCACATCCGTGTGGGTCTTTAAGGGACAGTGAGGGGTACCTGCTTGCCAAATTTACAAGCTTGTGCTCCACAGCACCGAGCAATTTAAATTTATTTTGAGAGGTCATGGGACTTGTTTTAAGATTGAATGCTGTAATCATTCTGGACATGGTACAAATTGGAAAAAATTCAGCCCAAGCAAGTGAAATCTCACCAAAAAAACCCCTTAAAGCAGTTGAAAGCAGGACATGGGGAGCTTGGGATGCAGGTAACATCAGTGCCACCGGTGCTGCCCAGGGTGCCCAAACCTCTACTGCTACCAAAGTATCTCTAACCTTTGGAAATTGTTTCCCTCATCTTTGCCCTCTTCTGTCTGTCTCTTCTACCAGCGAAAGCCAAGTCCAAATGTGGTGCCACGTTCTTCCCCTGCGCCAGTGGGATCCACTGCATCATCGGCCGCTTCCGCTGCAACGGCTTCGAGGACTGTCCCGATGGCAGCGACGAGGAAAACTGCAGTAAGTTTTTCTTTCAACTAATTAGTGCTACTTAGAAAGGAAGCATTCGTTAGCCTTTAATATCTGGGTCAAATATTCTCCCTGTGATTTACAACCCAGATGATCCTCGGGCTCTTCACTTTGTAAATGGCAGTGGTTTGTTGTTTTTTTTAAGGTCCACTCAGTCTTGTTCTGTGTACAATGCCTGTATGATGCTTCAGGCCCCTTTGTGACTTTGAAATGAGATTTAAGCTGCATGTTTGCTTTGGGAAGGTTCTCTGTACTCAAATGTAACTCAAATTGGGCAAATATTAAATATGACTTAAAATGGTTTAATTTTTATTTTCCTCTTTCTCGTCACTGAAGAATATGACTGACTTGTTCATCATCGCATTCAGGTTTCTCTGTTTATACCTGTTCTCAAGCAACAGAAAAGCAAATAAAGGGTTATTTAGTGAAACAGGTTCTGGCAAGGAGGAGGATATTCTGGAGGTCAGACGTGCGCTGCTTGAGGTGGGCTGAGCCCCCCGCCTGTGGCTGCGTAGATCCCTCTGTGTCCGTGGGGCTGGCAGGGATGTATCACACAGAAAGGAAAGGTTACCTTCGATCCGCAGCTCTGTTGCCATTATCAGGAGCTGGTGAAAGCATCGGTCTGTGGGCGGAAGCTTGCAGCAAACACTTGCTCATTCTCTTGTTGGAGCACGCTGAATCTTTCCTTTTAATGACATTTAAAGGTCAGGAGGAGGACAACAGACACCAGCTTTGAAAGATAACAAAAGGGGCGATCTTTACAGTGATCTATCACTGTCTGCTTCTTGGAGAACTTGCCTTTCTTGTTTGTGTGCTTTCCCTCACAGCATGAACACTGTCTTGAGGTGCCATCTGTTGTTGGCCTAGAGACTCTGGCTCTGGGACTGGCAGGGAGACAGCACCTCTGCAGAGCAAGGGAAGCTAGAGGAGGATCGAAGGCTAACAAAATGGCTGTGGGTTATGCTTTAAGAAGTGGGCAAGAAAAAAGGCTTGACAAAAGTGCTTTGAATATTCTTGAGGTTGAAGAGTGACAAGTGGCCCATCTCAGCTGAAGATGCACCCGCTCACGGGGCTGGTTATGAATGACAGAATTTCCCATGAGCTCATAGGGTGTAGCTCCAGTGGGACCTTACAGCTGATGATAACACGCTGCTGATCTCCCCATTTCACAGAATCACAGAATGCTATGGGGTTGGAAGGGACCTCTGGAGATCATCTAGTCCAACACCTTCCCACATCAGGTCCTCCCAGAGCAGCTCCCACAGGAACGTGTCCAGGTGGGTTTGAATGTCTCCAGAGAAGGAGACTCCACCATCTCCCTGGGCAGCCTCTGCCAGGGCTCTGCCACCCTCAAAGTGAAGAAGTTCCTCCTCATGTTTAGGGGGAACTTCTTATATTCAAGTTTGTGCCCATTTCCTCTTTTCCTGTCACTGGGCACCACTGAAAAAAACTGGCCCCATCCTCTTGACACCCACCCTTTAAGTATTTATAAGCATTGATCAGAATTTTCTCCATACCACATCATGGAATTGTCAGAGTTGGAAGGGACCTCTAGAGTCCATCCAGTCCAACCCCCCTGCCAAAGCAGGGTTGCCCAGAGCACATCACTCAGGAGCATCCAGGCGGGGCTTGAAGATCTCCAGAGAAGGGGACTCCACACCCTCCCTGGGCAGCCTGTCCCAGGGCTCTGCCACCCTCACCCCAAAGAAGTTCTTCCTCAGATTGGAGTGGAACTTCCCATGGTCCAGCCCGTTGCCCCTCGTCCTGTCACTGGGAACCACTGGAAAGAGTCCGGCTCCATCCTCCTTCCACCCACCCTTTAGATCCTTGTCAGCATTAATAAGGTCTCCCCTCAGCCTTCTCTTCTCCAGGCCAAAGAGCCCCAGCTCTCTCAGCCTTTCCTCATCAGGGAGATGCTCCAATCCCTCCATCATCTTCATTGCCCTTCGCTGGACTCTCTCCAGCAGTTCCCTGCACACTTCAGCACACACTCAGTATTTTCCAGCATATCCAAGTGTCTGGTCACTGCTTTGCTTATGGAGAGGAACAACACTGTAGGGCCTAAAGTGACCTGGAAAATGAATGTGCTCTGCAAGTGTGCAGCAGTTTTGGACAAAAGGAGATTTACCATGTTTGTGATAAACGTGCTTCTGGGGAGCTGGGTGAGCTGGGAGTGTTTGTTCTATATACTGCAGGTTATACGTATGGCAGATTTTAAAAGTTTCATGGTGTTTTTTTTTATAGGCTCTTTAAAGGCAGCTCTTACTTTAAAGAATAAAAAATAGGAAGTCAGTTAGTATTTGGGAACTGTAATCCCCTTTGTTACTGTGGCAGAGAAGCACTTTGAAGCAGACAAGGCATCTAAACAGCTTTTTTTAAGGTTTTCAGCTGGAAGGGTGCATTCCGTTTCAGTCACCTCATTACCGAAAACTGGCGGGAGTTCAGAGAAGGGTGCCAAAAATGATTAAGGGACAGAGAGATTGATTCATGAGGAGATATTAAAAACTGCTAAATTATGCATATCTCAGCTCACCAATGGCTGTGTTGGAAGATAAGGCTGTGTATGACGGGTGCAAACACTGTTCAAGGAGGGATCATATAGTTAGGTATGCTGGGCTAGAGCTAGGGGTAGAGGGGATGAAATTAGAAAAGGGAAAACTAAGATGTCTATCAAGGAAACCTCCTTGACAGTAAGATGCATTGAAGCTGGGATGTGAAATCCTAGGAGAAGTGAGGAAAACTGCACTGCGTGGAGCTTTAAATGAAACTAGACACGGCATCTTCCAGAGGAGCTCCTGCTGGGTTGGGCGAGGGTGAGGGGACTGCTCCAAATCACTGCTTCAATACTGTTCTGCTTTTGCTCTGAGGGCAGCTCTGGGCCTCATGTGAAAGGATTTTCTGGGTACTGCTGTAGCATGCATGTTACCCTTAGGGAGGAGTTGGAATTCAAACACGGAGAAGTTGAGAAATGTCAACGTTGCCAGTGCATCAATTCAAAATAGTGAGGAGAATGGGGAAAGTGGGAAAAGAAGCAGAAGTAAACAAACCACTGCCAGGCGGTTCTCAGCCAGGGTTGTGGGCTTATGATACGAAAATTCAGCTGAAGTGAGTTTGTTCGTGGTGGGAAGCAGTATTTATGGTAGGCAGTGCTACCCTCCGTGTGTCCTCAGCGTGAGCGGGCGCTGAGCACCCGGCAGGGATGAGACAGGGCTCCCAGGGAAGGGAACAGAAGGCTCAGCACAACTGTGGGTGAGCTGAATCCCTGCTAATTGTCATGAATCTTGCATGAACTAGAAATTTCAGCTCTCTCTGTTTGGAGAGACAGGGTTGGTTTGATTGCCGAGTTACTCCCCTGTATTCCGTGGACTGACCAGCTGTTGAGTTGTGGCCTCTCGTAGCTGATATTGCTTCACGGCTGCTTCACTGCCTGGGTAAGAGAATTTCTAATGGAAGATCTCACTTTCTCTTTTCGCAGCAGCAAATCCCTTGCTTTGCTCTACTGCCCGATTCCACTGTAAAAATGGTCTTTGCATTGACAAAAGCTTTGTGTGCGACAGTCAAAATAACTGTCAAGACAACAGCGATGAAGAAAGCTGCGAAAGCCCTCAAGGTAGGCACGGGGGTTTCATTCTATTCTGCGATATTATATCAACTCCAATTAACACGGACCAGGCTCCGTAGAAAATACAATTCTGCTGGCTTGCTCTGTGTTGGCTCGAGCTGTCGTTTCCTAATTCTGCATATAACGAGAGTGAGACGCGCAGGGAGTGTGTGCCTGTGTGCATCCCTGTCCTTCCCTGGTGTCTCTTTCAGACTGGTGGAAATGCATCTCTGCAGGAAGTGCTTTCAGTCTGTGACCCAGCGCTCGCTAGAGCTGCTGGGAATCCATTTCGTGACTTCTGTGGGAGATGGATTGGACCCAGAGGGATCAATAACAAAACATCGGTTTGAAGTAGTTCAGTGGTCTGTCTGCTTATCAGATGAGTAAATCTGTGTAGATTTAAAGTTTCAGATGTTCATTGCTCAGTTTCTTTCTGAGAAGCGTGTTTCATTGCAGGACAAGCCTACAGTGAAAGAATTTATTCCTACCTTTCCTTGTTTCTGTCTGTAGAGGAAAGGATGAGGAAAATTTTGTTTGAAAGTTGTTGTGTATTGAATCTTGTGAGAATCTCTTTACACAGTCTCTAATTTTTTCTTTTCTTTTCAACTTAGAACTCTACATCTAGAGCTCCTCAGTTTTGTTTTCTGTAACTTAATACCATGGTATTTATAAAACACAAAGTATTTATGAATGACTTGAGGTTAATAAATTATGTGTATTGAGCATCAGCTGCTAAATATTTTCATGTCTGAGTCATTACCGAAAGATCAGAGCAAGCAAAAATAAGATGGTGGATATTTGCAGGGGAGATGTGATGTGCCTGGGCCTGTATAAAGCAGGACACGTGAAGAGAAATAAAGCAGGGAATGAAGGAAGAAGAAATTAGGGAAACTGAAGGAGAATGACTTTAATATCTAGCTGCACTGTCATTTATTCCTTTGTGGAAGAGAAAATAATTCTGAGTTTAACTTGATGATAAATATTGTTGAACACCTTACAGGGAAGAGGGAAAATATGCAACAGAAATGCCAAGAAACGGGGTTTATAGCAATGGTATGTGACAATCTCTTCTGTGCCATTCCTCTTCCCCTTGGCTCCATACACAAGGGCTGATGGGGTCACCCTGGTGCTGGGGGACGGGGCTGGGAGGGATGGGGGGGGTATTGCTGTATTCCTGCTGCCCCCTGCCCAGGGCTGGGGGGTTTTTTACTGCAGGCCTAAGGCAGCCTCATAAGATAAATGCGGGTGGTAAGGTTTCTTGTTGGCTTTCTTTTTTTGTTTCTGCTGGGCTTTTTTCTTCTTCTGAAGCTTAAAGCAGCAGCGCTCTTTTCCAAGGTTGGGATGATTGCTTCCTCTGCAGATTAATTGCCTGGATTGCCTCCAGGTTGTTTGTTGTCATGACAATCTGCTGTTGGAAGTGACTGTCAGGCTCAGGAGAAGAAAAGAGCTGTATTTCATGAAGCCGTTACTTCTGTCTTTGTCTTTGGTCCTTCTGAAAAAGTCAAATTGGTAAGAGAGTTAAGGGAAGCAATTCTGTCTGATTCTGTGCATGAAAGAGCCGCAAAGGAGGAGGAAGGAACTCTCTCTCCTTTGGACCAGAGCAGCAATGGTTCGCCTGCTTTTTTGTTGAAAAAGGAGTCCAAATACAGGGTTGGGGATGGGGATCTGCAGAGTGAAATGCTGGTTATGGGCAGTGTGTGTGACTGCCTTTGGGCAGCGCAGAGCCTCAGCTTCCCATCGGAATGCGAGGCACAATTCCCACTGGAGTTTGCAGCCGTGGGTCTGGCTGTCCTGCCTTCCAAACACCAACTGCTTTGCATTAGCTGAGAATTAGAGGCTACTGTGGCCAGTCTTTCATTTCTCACAATTCTTTCTCTAGCAGATCTAATTACTGTAATTACAGTGAGGTTTGTGTTAGCATAGTACCCAAGCATCCTGCTCGTTAACTGGAACTCAAGTGCTCTGGGTACTTAGGGACAGAGCAAAGCAAATCTGTAGGGTATTAGAAAATCAAGATAGAGGGTTTTCTTCCCACTAGCTATTTTATCATGTCGCATGCAGTAGCTTTAGTTCAGGGTAATTGAGTGGTCTGTCATACAAGATTGCACTTGTGTGCTATTTTTCCATCTAAAAATGTGTTAATTTAGAAATCACTAAGCTGCTGAGCCGCTGTGTGATGGTGTCATTATTGCCATTTAACAGATGGGGAAGAGGGGGCACAGATCAGCTGAAGGAGATGCTCCCCGAGTGACACCCCGGATGGCAGGAGCAGGGCTTCATCCCTGCTTGTCTGCTTCAGGGGGACGTCCTGAGACTTAATCAATGTTTGCAAACTGTTTTGAGATACTATAATAACATGTGGAATAGAAGTGTGAATTATTAATTGGTACTTTGCTCTCCTTCTGCTCTTGGGTATACTGACAAGCTTTTTAAATTAACACCTCTTCCTACTCCTCCATGAACTTCAAAGGCCTCCTTTGCCCTGCTGTCTCTCCTGCAGAGCTCCAGGAGCGCACGGGGTTGATTTGTGTCAGATACTCTTCCATGCGTAAAGAGCCTTTCAATCAAGAAGGGTCACTCTGCAGGCGAGGAGGAGAGGAATGTGACCCCCTGCTGGAAAACATATTGACCCAGCTTTGACGTGGAACTCTTCAAAATGTGCCACCCTGGAGGAATAAGAGTTTGCCAGCGTGCTGCAATCTGAGATGACTCTGAAGCCATGGGTTTATAAAGATTAATTTTAGTCACAAGTAGGGGCGGAGTCATTGGAGGGGAGGAAGACAGAGGCCCCGGGGTTTAGTTGTGAAAATGGGAAGGTCAAATTTTTGAGAACACATTCCCACCCAGCTTTCTCCTTAGCACTTGTAACCGAGCACTGCACGTTTTACAAAGGTTTGTGCATCCTGGGGAAAGTGTCAGTTTAAAAACTTAAACTGTGACGATTTAGCAGCAAATCAAATACTTCTGCTCTAATCCCCGACGGTAATTATTTGTAGCTCTTGTAGCTGCCATGGTAAACTTCAGAGCTGTGCCTTTAGTCTCACCCCAGCCATACTATGGTCATCTCTGGGTTCCAGCATTGCAGTGGTGGCACGGCCGGAATTCCTGTGTCTGGAATGTGCTGTGTCCATCACCGTGTGTGCCCGAGCCGGGGTTGGATGGAGGATGCCATTGCTGGGGTCACCCACCCCAGTTCCCTGCGGGAAGTGCTCTTGCTGGGCGTTATTCCAGTTTGAACAACACTTGCAGCAACTGGAGATTTCTGCTCCTGTTCCTTAATGAGTCTTAATCCGGGAAAGTTCCTCTCTCCCATACGCTTTTTTCCCCTTATTCCTTTAAGATCTCTCCCCGTGCCTGGAATTAGCTGAGGGTGCTAATTGTTCACAGCAGCTCCTGGGGCTGTACTCGCTGCGGGGGTTCCCTGCTCTGCCACAGCCATCCCTCCACTCAATGGGAAGGGGATTCCTCCTTAGTGATATTTTTCAACAGCCATGTACACTTGTTCAGCTCTAGGACTGTATTTAATTTATTTGCTTAATTGCTTTTTATTTAAATGTGTCTTCACAGTGCTTCCTCCTTCAGTTTCTCCTCCATTTTGCACTTTTAGTCTAGAAAGCTTTAATGCCAACAGAAGCATACTGGCTATTTTAATTCTAACTCCTTCTCCTTTCACAGCCCTTCCTTTCTTTGCTCCTGAGTTTGCTAAATACCTTTATTAGCTGTAACCCCGTTGCCTGGGAAAGGGTTTTTTATTGCTGGGAGCCTGCATTCACTGGGACTGGTGGCGCGGAGAGGCTCCTGGCTGCAGTCACCTCCCTGCAGCCCAGGCAGTAAACACCACCATTGTGGGCAACTTATAAACCAAATGTTTTGAGAGTGTCCTGAAGTTGATTCCTGCCCTGTGTTTCTGCAGTGTATTTGGTGATGTCTGCAGTTGCACATGAGGATACCTCCTTTTTTTTTTTAATTTTTTGGCATATTTTTGCATTGAATTTGTGTTAGGATTTTGATACACACCACCATTCTAAAATAGATGTAGAAGCACACACAATTGTCAGAAATCTCTCTTCTATCCTCTATTGCACATATAAATTGTATACAAATTGACAGCATATTAAAAAAATGAAAAATCTGACCCCATGTCAAATAAGTGGAAAACACTTTCAAAGGTTGACTTATTAAAATTAATTTTTAAGTGAGAATATATATTCTGTAATGAAACTTTCTGTGGATTTAGGTGTAGGTGAGAGGAAGCTGGAGGGGAATTGGCTGTGATGGCAAACACTATGGCCCGCTGCTGGTGTTTGCACGATTGAGTTGCAATGCAAAGCAGTTTCAGCACTGACAGCCAAGTGGAGCAGACGTCCTCTAAATTTCAATGAAATACCACAAAACCTAATTTCTGCAACAGAAACAGCTCCCGGAACATCCCACTCCGTGTGGAGCTTGCACTTTGCTTTGCATGCGGCAAATTGAAATGCTGAAATTCCCAGATGCTGTGATATCACTTAGACATCCCAAAACTCTGTAGTCTGATCCTGGCTGCATACATTTCCTTTTATTGAGTCTCCGTGACTCATTATTGACTCAGTCTTTAAACTGAAGCTCAACTTCCAATTATTGTGCATCAGCTTAGCCCAGATTCAGCCCACAGCAGGAATTTAATATTCAGAGGCAGACTAAATAGAAGTAGAAACTTAAGGAAGGATACAAATAAAATGTCACTGAGTGTTTTATTAAATGAAGGCTTTGCCTGAGCATATTTAGCTCTCTAATGTCCCTGTTTTGTAACACTTGCTAGATGGAAATGTTTTTGTCAGCTGTGAATTCCTTCTATCTTCTGTTCCTCTATTCCCTGATTAAGTCCAGGATTCCTCTTCTTTGTCTTTTTCTCTGTTTATTTGAAAGGGTTCTTGTCAAGAAAAAGAATCATTCCATCTGCACAGAGACTTAAAAGGTCAGGTGAGCTACAGCAGGCAGGTACTTGTTGGCGATCGGTCACTAGTGGT